ACGTCTGCCTCTCCGAAATCCCTGTCTGTTCACTCTGCATCTTTTCCTCATCACAGCCCCTGCAAAAATGAGGAGAGCTGTGAAGGGCCCTGTGAGGAGGGACTGATCTGTGATTGAATCTGCTCTTGTTGTGTAGGTGGGATGTGCCCTTTTCGTCACATCAGCGGCGAGAAGACAGTGGTGTGCAAACACTGGCTGAGGGGCCTCTGCAAGAAAGGAGATCAGTGTGAATTCTTACATGAGTATGACATGACCAAGATGCCCGAGTGCTATTTCTATTCCAAATTTGGTGAGTGCTTTCAGTCTGTGGTTTCCAAACTGACCCAGGTGTCTGATTGCAGTTGGGGATGGGAGTGACCAGGCTTTGTATATCCAGTTACAGCAGATTGGTTGAGATAGCACTTTAGCAGCACATCACAGTTTTCCTACATAGTAGAGCCATAACATTGTGATTCTATATTGTTAAAACTCTGATTATTTAAGGCTTAAGAATAATGTTAGCTGGTTTGTTTTCTTTTGGGCACTATTGTGGGCTTTATTGGGAGCTGGAAATGTACTAAGATTGGTCAAGAGTTGGTGAAAACTCTCATTGCGTGAAGTCTTAGCTGACCTTTCTGATTTAGAAGATGCTGTGTGTTTGTAGCGCGTGTATCTTTATTTACATTTTGTAGGCTCTTTAATTTGAGTCTATCTTCCTCATCAAGAATGATTTACTGTTTGGGCGTGTCGCAACTATTGAAGCTGTTCTTTCTAATGCTTTTAGCATCATCTGTCCCCTGAAACAGATTGTCTCATCAAAACTGAGCTGGATATGGATAAAATCTAATTTCTTCGTACACTTGAGTTAATTTAGGGAATAAACTGTCACCAGCCTGAGGACACTTAGTTCAGTTGAAGTATTCGGAAAGGAAATGGGTTGGTTCCTGAATCCTTTTTGAAGGTAGTGGGTTATGGTACGGCATCAAGGCAGAAGGGGGAATTGAAAGGATCCAAGCAAGGTCTGAATAATGGAGAGGGAAGGAAAAACAACCTGCTGCTTTCTCCTTGTGTTCTGTGTTTTAATTTCTTGCTTTTGCTTCTGTAGGAGAATGTAGTAATAAGGAATGTCCATTTCTACACATTGACCCTGAGTCCAAAATCAAAGACTGCCCCTGGTATGACCGAGGATTTTGTAAACATGGTAAGTGATGAGCTGTGGGAAAAAAACTGAAGAATTGGCTTCCTCTGGTTTTCTGTCATGTAGGTGTTTCTTGCCGTGTATTGGCAGAAACCTGGCAGCAGGTCACTTTGTCCAACTCTCGACCTGGGAATGAGTTGTGGCCTGTTGGGCACCTGGTCCAGGTTGAACCTGCTGTTGACACAGGTGTACTCACCAGGAGGAGGCGCTCAATGGTGATCCGAAACATCGTGACCTTCTGTTTTTTTTAAAAATACTACCTTCTGCCTCTTTAATTGAGGCTTTTGGGGGCAGTTATAGTGGCACAGCTCCCACGCTGCCCAAAATCAGCTTTCCTAAACTGCGCTGAGTGAAGTTTTAAGATTGAGATTTCTGTCAGTGTTGGGTGAGCATATTTTTATTTTGCTTTTGTAATTTGTGTATTGTCCAAATGAGAGAAATTTTGTAAGTATTGCTCACCAACATTAGTTGGGTTTATAGCACAGAAGTTTTAAAGCTTTTAGCAATAAAATGCTTTTAAGCAGATGGAAATGTGTACAGCTAGGATTGGTCAGACCCTTTGTGATCGATCCTGCTCAATTGTGTGGTACTCCTGGTGCCATGGGTACATGATTTGTTATTTGCTGAAACATAATTTTAGTCAGTTACTGATCTTGAATCTTGTGTCGTTATAGGTCCACTGTGCAGGCACCGACACACACGGCGAGTCATCTGTGTTAACTATCTGGTAGGATTCTGTCCTGAAGGCCCCAGCTGTAAATTCATGCAGTAAGTACACAGCAAGGTAGGAACATTAGAACGAGAGCAGGCCATTCAGTTCTGCCACTCTCTTGGATCATGGATGATGTCTACCTTGCTTCTGAGCAGTCATGATATCAGAAGTCATGTACATACTCTTCATTAAGAGGGTGTTCAGCCAATGTTAGAGCTGTCATGCAATGTTAAAGGCTGTTACCATGTGACTTAATGGGTGTGTAACTCTCTGCCACTTATAGGCACAGTATTGATTGAACGTTGTGGCCATTCACTTCGTAACATTATAGGTGTCTTTAAAGGTTGCCAAGTCAATTTGTAACAACCTATATAATTTTATTGAGCAATACTTTCTCTAACTACAGGCTAAGTACAGTCTAAGGTTGAGAAGTGATCTAAAGAAAATCTTGAAATGGTAATTGGATTCGATAGGGTGGAATTGGAAAGGTTACTTCCTTAGGAGCAATACAGAACAAGGCATACTCTTCAAATTTAAACTGAGCCACAATGGAGTGAAATTAGGCAGAACTTTCTCCACACGAAAGGCATCGGAAATCATATGCTCCAAAAATACTGAGTATGTTGGAAGTCATTTGGAATTTCAGAGAGATAGTGGACTTTTGTTATATAAGGGTAATAAAGATCTGAGGAAGGGAAATGGATTTGAGGCACAAATCGCCATGATCTAAGGTGATTAACAGTGTGGACTTCAGGGGCTGAGTGGCTTCTATGTATTTTTAATTCATTGCAGGCAGTGCCTACGCTCCAGATCAAAGGGTGCCTGAATAGGATGCATAAGCAGAGCTTTAATTATTAATGGTGTGCTTTGAAGTCAGAGTTTGCCAGAGTTCTGTGAGTCACTTATTTTCCTTCAATGAGTGGGCTAGGTAGAGTAGTTAGGGTGAAACTGTTCCATGTGTAAAAGGAACAAAATCAAGAGTCAGGTTAAACTAGCCACCAGTCATGTCTGAGAAGAGAGCAGCCCACTGATTTTTATAAATGGCGACTTTATAAATGGTTTAGTCTTCGATGTAAGAGGCTTGATCAGTCAGTTTGCAAATGACATGAAAATTGGTGGGGTGGTAGATAGTGAGGAGGATTGCTTTAGATAATACAGAAGGATATAGATGGGCTGATCAGTGGCAAATGGAATTCAATCCAGTAAGTGTGAGATGATACACTTGGACAGGACAAACAAGGTAAGGGAATACATGATGAACAAAAAAATCCTGGGAAGCATTGAGGATCAGAGGAACCTTGGTGTCTTTGTTTTACTGATTCCTTCAGATAGCAGGACAGATAGACAAAGTGGTTTAGAAGCCATATAGGGTACTTGTCTTTATTAGCCGAGGCATAAGAGTTTTAAGAGCCGAGAGGTTATGCTGAAACTGTATAAAACATTGGTTAGAGAGCTAGCGTATTCTGTGTGGTTCTGGAGTCTACTGGAGGGTGGCACGGCGGCTCAGTGGTTAACACTGCTGCCTTACAGTGCCAGGGACTAGCATTCAATTTCACCCTTGGGAGAATGTGCAAACTTCACACAGACTTTCTCCCCATGTCTACATGGGTTTCCTCGGGTTCCTACAGTTAGGTGGTTTGGCCATGCTAAATCGCCGATAGCATACAGGGATGTGCAGGCTGGATGGATTAGCCATGGGAAATGCAGAGTTACAGGGATGGAGTAAGGGAGTGGGTCTGAATGGGATGCTGTTCAGAGGGCCAGTGTGAACTTGATGGGCCGAATGGCCTGCTTCCGCACTGTAGAGATTCTGTGATTATAGGAGTGCTTGTTAGCCGTGGAAGGTGCAGAGGAAATTGGCCACAGAACTTCAACTATAAAGAGAGACTGGACAGATTGGGATTGTTTTCCTTGGGGTAAAAGAGATTGAGAGGAGTACATGATTTGAGATGTATAAAAATTGAGGGAGAGGGTGGACAGGAAGGAACTTTTCTTGGGGGAGGGATCAATGACTGGGTGGATAGATTTAAGGTAACGGGCAGAATGTTTAGGGAGGATATTTTTCTCACAGAAGTGGTTGGGAGTCTGGAGCCCACTGCCTGTAATGGTGGTACAGGCAGAAAACCTCAAACGTTGAAGGAGTTGGATATGCAGTTGTGATTTTAAGGCCTACAAGGCAACGAGCCAAGTGCTGGAAAATGGGATTAGAATAGTTAGGTGGTCATCTTTGACCAGCATAGACCTGATGGGCAATAGGGGGCTTTTTTTTTCTATGTTGCAGACACTGTGTCAGGACGTGGACTTAAAGTGATTTTTAGAAGAAGCAAGATGATGCGTGGAAATCTTTTTCAAAGAGTTGTATGAAATGCATTGTTTGAAAGTGTGGCCGAGGCGGGTTCAGTTGAGGCATTCAAGAGGGTATTTGATGACTATTTGGATCAAAATAATGTACAAAGGTATGGGGCAAAAGCAGGAGATTGGCACTAGGTAATGATGCTGATTCGAAAAGCCAGTGCAGGTGCTATAAGACTTGTGTGTCCTTTGTATGTTAAACTGTGAAGCGGAGGAGCCCAATAAACCTTAGATTTCGGATCTTATACATTGATTTAATTACTGATATGACTGTTGACACCAATGATCCTATCATGAAGGTCAACAGTATATCCTCATCTCTGATGTTCTCAGATTGGGCACGTTCAAAACAAAAGCTGACTTTTGAAGATAATTCTACTTTGCTTAACCCTTTTTCCTGTTCACCAATATACTCTTTCATTCTGTTCTTTTCATTTTTAAGTATTTTCTAGGTCATAATCATTTTATTTAAATATGTTTGAGAGATTTCACTTCCAGAGTCATACAGTAAGAAAGGCCCATTGAATCTGCACTGACAAAACTACTCTAAATCTACACTAGTCCCACTCTCCAGCCTAACATTATGATACTTCAGGTGCTTATCCAAATACTTTTTAAAGGTTGAGAGGTTTCCTACCTCAACTACTTTCCCAGCCAGTGCATTCCATATTCCCATCCCCTCTAGTGTACCTGGCCCGGTGTCAATAAGCACCGACCTCAATTAAAGTGCTTTACAGCGTCTCAATGCTGGCCTCTTTCATTGCTTGCCTTCCGTGCAGGTGGCTGTAGGGATTTGTTTAGAATAACTCGGTTTTTATTCTCCCTTTCAGCCCTCGTTTCGAGCTGCCAATGGGAACTGGTGTTGATCAACCACCGTTACAGCAACAGCAACAGATACTCCAAAAGGTAAGCCTGAGCTACTGTGCATTTTTTTAACAAGATTATTTACTTATTTTGTACATTACTCTCTTTTCCATTCATTGAATGCTGGCATATCTTATGGATCTGGAAGAATCTCTGTTCTCAGCCTTTGCAAAGTGATTGTATTTATTCAGGTGATTGAAGTATGTTGCTTTACTTTCCCTTACTGGGTATTAAGGATGTGTGCCAACTCTACCAAGATTCTTTCTGCTCCCACTCTCCATTTACATTATGTCCTTGGGGTCAGCTGTTACTACTGCATCTTAGTGGAACAGTATGTAGATATTTGGTGTTGCACTAAATCATACAGAGCAAGAGACACCAGATAAGATCCTTGTACTTTGCTGAGCGAGTTCATTTTAGTGGGGCCAGTAAATATTATGCTAGCTTCATTAACCATAGGCCAGAACGAGTTATTGTTCCTGCTATTCCAGCAATTGTTTAAAAAGTATTGTGTTGAGCAAGGACAAGGTGAAGCTGAACAATGGACAGATATTTTCTAAGCAACCTGTTCAGAGATGTTATTACATCTTATTACAATTTCTGGACCAGGTGGGACTAAAACCAGATTGCCTGGTCCTGGACAATGGGAACCATTGCTCAAGTAGCCTGCCTACCATATTTGAGCTCACACATGAAGAATGGACAGTGTGAGGTTGTGTGGAATTATCTGCAGCAACATTTTAATCCTTGTGTTGGTGATAATGGGAGGGAGGGAAGGAATTCATGTACTATTGAACTGTTAAAAGTAAAATTAAAAATCTATTAAAGAAGGAGATATGAATCTCAACCTGATTTTAATGATAACACTCTCATCTTAGAAGTCATGTGTTCAATCTCTAACCTGGAGATACACCACCATTGCTGAGAAGTAAGTTTATGTGGTTTGAGGTTTTTTAATTCAGCATTGTAATTTTTAAATATTTTTATCAAGTTACATACATCAACTATGACGCATAGAGTTTTGGCAAAATTGCTCTTATACGTTTCTTTCTCTTTACAGCAGAATCTTACTCCGTTTCTTCAGCGGTCATCCTCTCTGGTACAGATTCCTAGCACCAACATAATCGTAGGGCAGCAGAAAACAAACACACAATCTAGCGGATCAGTGCAGCAATCTCAATTTCAGACATTGTCAAATCGAGGCCCTAGACCTTTGGAGCAAGTCACGTGTTATAAGGTGAATGATGGCTACTTGATGGGTTTTTTTTGTCATTCAGAAATAATTTCACAAGTGAAGATGATTCAATTACTTGTGAATGAATTGCTGAAAAGGAAGCTTCGTGTCTTGCATTTAAGACATTTTTAGGAATGCAAATTCAAGGGGGAAACCAGCGTTATGAGAGGAGAATGTTGATGTTTTAGGGGGTGGCACGGCGGCTCAGTGGTTAGCACTGCTGTCTCACAGCGCCAGGGACCTGGGTTTAATTCCAACCTCAGGTAACTGTCTGTGTGGAGTTTGCACATTCTCCTTGTGTCTGCATGGGTTTCCTCCAGGTGCTCCGGTTTCTTCCCACCGCCCAAAAATATGCAGGTTAGGTGGATTGGCCATGCTAAATTGCCCATAGTGTCCAGTGTGTAGACTAGGTGGATTAGCCATGGGAAATGCAGGATTACAGGGATTAGGTAGGGGGTGAGTTTGGGTGGGTTGCTCTTTGGAGAGTCGGTATGGACTTGTTGGGCTGAATGGCCTGTTTCCACACTGTAGGGATTCTATGAATGAACTCTGGTAGAGGCAATGTCAAGAAGAATGCACCTAATAATGCTATCGTACCTTTCTTCTGAAACACTAGCATTTATTACCCATTCCCAATTGTCCTGGAATATAATGCTGACCCCTCTTGGAGTCATACAGCATGGAAACAGACTCTTTGGTCCAACTCGTCCATGCGACCATGTTCCCAAACTAAACTAATCCCAGATGCCTGCATTTGGCCCTCAGTCCATTTGGTATAGGTATGCCCACATTGCCGTTGGGAAGTAAGTTCCACGTTTTTGATCCAGGTACAGTGATGGAATTCTATAAGTCAGGGTAGACTCTGGCTTGGAGCAGAACTTGCAGGTGTTCCCATTCATCTGCTGCCTTTGTCGATCAAAGTAGTAGAGCTACTGGTTTGGAAGGTGCTGTTGAAGGTTCTTAGTGGGTTGCCACAGTGCATTTTGTACATAGTACACATAACTCCCCTCTGTGCACTGCAGGTGAAGTGAGTGAATGTTTCAGGTGATGGATGGGTTTGATCAAGCCAGCTGCTTTGACCTGAGTTATGACTATCATTCACTCTGCTACTTTGTTTCAGACTATTTGAGGACAATTAATTTTGAAAAGTCATTAGTGATCATTTACTTTGAGTAGTCTATGAAGTTTCCAGGTAGTACAAGTCTGGTATATTGAATATCACAAACAAGAGCTAGGAACAGAAGTTAACCACATGGCTCTTTTTTTTGTTATTCACTTGTAGGACATGGGCGTTGCTGGCTGGGCCAGCATTTATTGCCTGTCCCTAGTTGCCCTTGAGAAGGTGCTGGTAATCTGCCTTTTTAAACCGCTGCAGTCCATGCGCTAAAGGTCATTTCCAGTATACAGTTTGATACCCGGTGGTCCATTCAGTTTCATTTCTTTGTTGAAATTTCATTGCGATTGATACAACTGAGTGGCTTGCTAGGCCATTTCAGAGGGCAGTTGGTCACATAGACATTGTAATTGCCATTGTTTGGAATATGTAGACCTCAAATGATTTGGGTAGTGATGGGTTCTTGCTTCACCTGTTTATGTATAGTCTAGTACACTTATTATCTACATTCAAATGGGCTTACTTCATTTAAAATATATTGCAACGTTATATCTGGTATACAAAAGTTTACAAAAGGAAAAATCTTTTAATTGCATATGGATCCTTGAATCAGTGCAAAATGAACTGTATTGTCCTAGTTGATGCTTCTTTATTAATTACCAGAATCAGGAACAATTGTGAATTTTCTCATTGTGCATCTCTCAGAATCTATCACCCAACAATGATGACTTAAATGTGCTTCTCTTGTTGTATTCTATAACTGACTTTGTAGTCTGCAGATTTCTGACCTCAAAATAAATTCTTGTGCTTTTTTTTTCCAGTGTGGTGAGAAAGGACATTATGCTAACCGATGTACCAAAGGACACTTGGCATTTCTTAGTGGTCAGTAGCAGAGTCACTGGTGAACAATATGTTGGAAAACTCTCAAGTTCTATTGATGCCCCGAATGGAATGTACATTATTCTTGGATGGGTTTGGGAGTTGAAAAACTTACTTTATCTTTTTTCTCCCCACCTCCCTGTGCCCCCGTAATGCACATTGTGACAGTTGTTACTGAAATATGTGCACTCTTTTAAAGTTTAGTGTCAGGAAGCACTACACTGAAGAAAAGCTACTTAGAATAGCTTCTGTTTGTACCGTTTCCAGCCATATTCTTTAATATCCTTCAGCTCCTATTTTTCAATGAAACCAGGTACAGAATTGGCAATGGATTGGATTGGTAAGACACTGAGGGAGAGAACAATGCAGATTGCTAAATTGTGATCTTTATATCACATAATTTGTGCATTACTTTTTTTTTCCTGTTTCTCCAGTTGTATTCTTCCAATTGTGAGGGCAGTTTTGAGTGTTGAGCTGAAGCTGTGTGTAGACTGTTTATAGAGGCCTTTTGCAGGCATACCTCTCAGCTCTGGTGGCAACAGCTCAATGCCTTGAGCAGATCTGCAGTTCTTTGTAGAACCATAAGATTGGTTGGTCTCCGTGTCTAATATAAGTCTGATCCTTTTCTCTAGCGCAGCTGTTATTGAGTTGCTCTGATTGAATTTAAACATTTCAGAAGTATGTACGAATATAAAAATGGTAGGGAAAGGAGCTGAGAACATCCTTAATCCTATTTCAGTGGATGGATTCGTTCCAGGCACAGGAATAGTATCCTGATACATTGTGCCACTCAACCTCATGTTGACATGAAAACCAACAGAAAATCCTGGCTAGATATCAACTTGGAAACAAATATGTCTGTTGGATTAGCAAAATAATGATTAATGAGGGTTACTTTAGGTAGAATTACTTGCTAGGATATCTTATTAATTTGTCCTGTGCGTTATCACATTTTATAGGAAAGAGGTTTTTAGTTTTGTGGCAGAAGAAAAATGCAATGAGAGTTGCAAAAATTCTACTGTTGAAACCTAAATTACCTTATGATTGTCAAGTGTTCATTTTTATCCAATTTAATAAATATTTTTTAACAAAAATGTGCCTTGTTTTGTGTCATTATGTAATCTTACTCCACGTATGTTCAGTAGTATTACCTTCTATTACTCAATTAAGTTCTTGAAATGGAGATGCCAGTGTTGGACTGGGGTGGACAAGGTCAGAAATCACACAACACCAGGTTGTAGTCTAACAGGTTTATTTGAAATCACAAGCTTTCGGAGCATAGCACCTTCGTCAGGTGGAGTGAAGAGAAGCACACAGGCACATAAATTCTAGGCAGAGAGATCAAAAGATCATACAGGTAGTGTGAGTGGAGTGTTGACAGGCTGAATAGTAAGTCTCTGCAGGTGATCAAAAGTGTCAGACGGTGTGAGTAAAGTCAACAGCTGAATAGCAAGTGAGGGGATGATCTATAATCCAATTGTGGCAGAGAGATAATTACAAAAAATTAAAAATAAAGTAGTGCTGAAAACCAAGCAAATGGCTGGAGTAACGTGATAGATATGAGTCACATGCTGAGGGTCTAACCAAAGTAACAACTAATCCAAAATTGTAAAAACTAATTAAGGTAGAGAGATTGTAACAAGTTATCAAGGTGATGGTTTCAGTAAGGTAGATTTTACAAATACAGGACAGCGTGGTGGGGTTACATGTAGCACAACATGAACCCAAGATCATGGTTGAGGCAGTCTTCATGGGTTTAGAACTGGGCTATCAGTTTCTGCTCAGCAGTTCTGCGTTGTGTATCTCGAAGGCTGCCTTGGAGGACGCTTACCCGAAGATCGGAAGCTGAATGTCCTTGACCGCTGAAGTGATCCCCCACTAGGAGGGAACGTCCATTTGGCGATTGTTGCATGGTGCCCATTCAACTGTTGCCTAAGCATCTGCATGGTCTCGCCAATATACCATGCCTCGGGCATCCTTGCCTGCACGGTATGAGGTAGATTACATTGGCCGAGTCGTACGAGTATCTGTCATTTACGTGGTGGGTGGTATTCCCACGTGAGATGGTAGTTTACATGTCAATGATCTGACATGTCTTGCAGAGGTTGCAATGGCAGGGTTGTGTGATGTGGTCGATGTTGTCCTGAAGGCTGGGTAGTTCGCTGCAAATGATGGTCTGTTTAAGGTTTGGCGGTTGTTTGAAGGCGAGAGGTGAAGGTATAGAGATGATCTTGGTGTGATATTCGTCATCATCGATGACATATTGAAAGTTCTCCACTCCAGGGAAATACTGGAAAATGAAGGGTACTCTATTGGTTGTGTCCTGTGTCCGCCTTCTGAGAAGGAACTGGCGATTGATGAGTTGAACATCATATCCCATTCTTATAAGGGCATCTTTCAATATCTTCAGGTGTCCATCGCGTTCCACCTCGTCTGAGCAGATCCTGTGTATACGCAGGGCTTGTCCATAAGGGATGGCTTCTTTAACATGTTCAGCATGGAAGCTAGAGAAGTGCAGCATCGTGAGGTTATTCATGGGCTTGCGGTAGAGTGAGGTACTGAGGTATCTGTCCTTGTGGAGATGCGTGTGTCCAATAATGAGAATGATTCTGAAAAGTAGTCCATGGTGAGTCTGATGGTGGGACAAAACATGTTATGTAGTCATTTCAGTGATTCCTCGCCATGAATCCGAAGGAAGAAAATGTCATTGATGTATTTGGTGTATAGCGTTGGTTGGAGATCCTGTGCAGTAAAGAAGTCTTGCTTGAACTTGTGCATGAAAATGTTGGCATGTTTGGTTGCAAATTTGATCTCCATGGCTGTTCCGTGTGTCTGAATGAAGAGCTAGCTGATGAAGGTGAAGACGTTGTGGTTGAGGGTGAAGCAAATGAGTTGTAGGATGGCATCGGAAATTGGCATTTGTTGGTGTTGAGTACTGAGGCTGTTGCAGCGATGCCGTTGTCATGAGGGATGCTGATGTAGAGTGCCGAAATGTCCAATGTGACGAGGAATGTTCCTGGTTCGACTGGTCTGTGGGTGCTGAGCTTCTGTAAGAAGTTTGTAGTGTCACGACAGAAGCTGGGGGTTCCCTGTACAATGGGTTTCAAGATATCCTCGACATAGCCAGAAAGGTTCTCACACAGGGTCCTATTGCCTGACATGATGGGACGTCCAGGTGTGTTGGCTTTGTGCCGGAGCGGAGAAACTACGTCATGTTCTTTGCAGCCTTCAACATGTTATCAATGACCATGGACATCTCTCCAAGATCATCCCTATGCCTCCACTTTGCGACTTCAGACAACTGCCAAATCTTAAAAAGTCATTTGCAGTAAACTACCCAGCCTTCAGGACAACGTCGACCATAACACCACCCAACCCTGCCACGGCAACCTCTGCAAGATATGCTAGATTGCCAACATGGATACTACTAACCACCACATACTAAGCAGATACTCATGTGACTCAGCCAATGTTGTCCACCTCATATGCTGCAGGCAAGAACGCCCCAAGGCATGGTATATTGGCTAGACCATGCAGACGCTATGGCAACGGATGAATGGACACTGCACGACAATTGCCATACAGGATTATACCCTCCCAGTCAGGGAACACTTCAGCAGTGAAGAACATTTGGCCTCCGATCTTCAGGTAAGCATTCTCCAAGGTGGCCACTGAGATACACAATGTAGAATAGCTGAGCAGAAACTGATAGCCAAGTTCCGTTCCCATGAAGACAGACTCAACTGTGATCTTGGGTTCATGTCGCACTACGTGAAACCCTATCATACTGTTCTGTATTTGTAAAATCTTCCTTTACTGTCTTGTTTTGACACCATCACTTTGATAACTTATCTCTCAACCTTAATTAGTTTGTATGGTTTTGGATTACTTGTCACTTTGGTTAGACCCTTGGCATGCAACTCTTGTACCTATCATGTTATTCCAGTCATTTGGTTTGTCTCCAGCACCATCTTATTTTCAATTTTTTGTAATTATCTCTCTGCCTCATTTAATCGGATTATAGGACATCCCTTTGCTTGTTATTCAGCTGTTGACACCTTATCCACTCTGTCTGACACTTTTGATCACCTGCAGAGACTTATTATTTCAGCCTGTCAACGCTCCACTCATACCATTTATACGATCTTTTGACCTCTCTGCCTATAAATTCTGTGTCTGTGTGCTTCTCTTCACTCTACCTGATGAAGGAGCAGCGCTATGAAAGCTTGTGATTTCAAATCAACCTGTTAGACTATAACCTGGTGTCATGTGACTTCTAAGTTCTTGAAATGAATTGATTGAAAGGTTTTCTTTTAAGGATTTTTTAAATCAAGTGGGGGATGCTTCTCAACATAAAATGAGGCCTCAATTAAGATTGTTGAGAAAATGTGGGTCAGAGTTTTCTTCATAATGGGGAAACTTGGATGAAGGTGCAATCAGCGACCATGCAACATGTTGATAACGTTGAAAATAAAATGCATGTTAGCTCTTCCATAGTTCAATGACTGCTTATTGAAAAGCATCATTATCTATATAGCAGTATTAGGTAATGCATTTACTCATTGATTCCAATGTGTGTTGGGTAAGAAAGGAATGTAGCAAGAAACTGAGGTTGACATTTTTAAAACAAAAAAGTACTCGTACACAGCACTTGGATTTTTTTGTTCCTTTAAGTGATCATATAGTGGTTGATTATGTGACGATGCTGTAGCTCTAACAGGTGTATTTTCTCCTGGTTTCTTTTAAGAGAGGGATTGAACAAGATGTACCAAGCAGTCTGCGGTAACGTAAACGGCTTGTGAGGCCTTGCAGTTTTTTAAATGGAACCAAAGAAGAAGCCTGGGTGGGTGTGGTTAGCTCTCACAGAGCAGGATTTCTAGGGGTTTTTTATTTAGATTTTGGATTCAGCAGAAGCTGCTGGAGTGTTGAAGAAGTAGGAGTTTCTTTTTCCCCCCCCTCTCTCGGTTACAGCTAGAAGCTGGGGTTTCTCTTCCTACTGTGGGTGTTATATGTGAGAAAATCTGATTTCTGAATTTGTCTCTTTGCCAAGGGGTGTGTTTATGGGATGTCCGTATATTGGAACATTTAATTAATAATATTTACTGTATCTATTATTCTGTTAAGTTTTCCAATAGAGTTGTTATTCTAAACTTTTTTCTTTTTTTTTTGTTGAATTTTAACTCTTGTGCTTAAATAAATTGTGTTTTGCTTAACACCGAATAGTTTGACCAAGCAAATTGCATCTGGAACACAGCACTCTACATTTGCTTTTAAAATAAGAAAAAGCTGGGGTCTAGGCTTCCTTAAAATATTTTGTGGGGGGGCGGGGGGTTTGGTCCATAACAATTGGAACTCTAATAGTTAGGATCTTCATCTACTGGGACTGCATTCTTAATTGGAAATATGAAGGAATCTATTTACCTCTTCTTATATCATCACATTTTCAAAGAAATGAGTGTGATGGAATACTCTCCACTTGCAGGATGAATGTAGCTCCAACAACACTTGTAATGTTTGACACCATCCAGGACAAAGCAGCCTGTTTGATTGGCAGCCAACCAGCATCTTAAAAATTCAATCCCTTCATCATTAATGCACACTGGTAGTGTGTAACATCTACAAGGTGCACTGCCGAAACTAAGGCTCTTTTGACAGCACTTTCCAAAACTGGGAGCTCTCCCAACTAGAAGGATAAGGGCAGCAGATGCATAGGAACACTATTGCCTGCAAATTCCCTTCCAAGCCACAAAATATTCTGACTTGGAAATGTATCTTCATTTCTTCATTGTTGCTGGGTCAAAATCCTAGAACTGCCTTCCTAACTGCACAGGGTGTACCTGCAGCACAGGAACTGCAGAGGTTTAAGACGGTTAACAATATCTTAAGGGCAATTGATGAGCAATAAATGGTTTAGCCTGTGGTGTATGAATAAACAAAAACAAGGCTAAATGGCAATATCAGAGATAGTAAAGGGTCCCGACCTGAAATGTGAACTTTCCTACTCTGATGCTGCCTGGCTTGCTGCGTTCCTCCAGCTCCACACCATGTTATCACTAAATGGCAATATAACAGCTACTTATTGAACAGATGTAGA